CTCAGCTGCCCACAAATTTAGATGCGAAAAACGATTTCGGTTTCTACAAGTGCAGGCACCGGTGGACTTCAAATTCGATTCTTCGACCTGATTTCTCATTTAACAATTCATTGTTGAAGACGTCAGAAATATGGTTGAACACATCTGGAATATGTAACAAAAGGTATACCATCTCGACCCTTTTCAGTAGGGTCAGTAGGCACTCAATCCCTCTGTAGAAAAATCTATGCACACGCTTGGTGCTGTTTTTAAGGTCATTGTCATGGCGGGTAGGACAAAAGATCTCAGATTTGGAGCCATCAGACCAAAGCATAGATTTCCAGTGTTCTAAAGCTTTGTGTTCTCATTGTCTTCTATGTCTCAAATTTATTGTTGCTTTTCTTTGGTAGCAGCTATTTGACTAACAAGACTTAGTTTGAGCCTTCGCGTCTCAACAGTTTATGCTGGAACTTCATCCGTTCTCTAATCCTAGGAGCTATTAGCTTAGGATTTATGAAGCGGGCAAATTAGATGAGTTTAAGTTTGCTGGGATGCTCCTTTTTTCATTTGTTTCCTCCAAGACTCTTTGTGACAAGTTTCCTTTGTTCATTTGTTCTTGCCATAAAATGAATTCTAACAGTTGGCAAATAGGTCCGTCAGCTGTGTACCAACCAAATTCTACACAACACAACGGACCAATCTCATAAGATAAGTAAGAAACTTCACAAATTGACCATGACATGGCAGAGACATTTCTGGTGATGACTTCAACACATTAAGAAAAGGTCAATGGTTTGAAGCACTGTTAAAAAAGCAAAAGCTCACATTTAATGTTTGTAACATAATTCCATTAGTGTTCATTTAAAGCCAAGATACGCAACGTAAATAAGGTAAACACTTCAAGTAAAAAAAATACTGTGTCTAAACATTTATTTCACTTGACATTCATTTGACAAAAGTGGCATTGATTATTTATTTTGAAAATATCTTGAATTATATATTATTGCTGGCCATTCCTGGAAGATTAATATTTCAAAATGACACACTGTATCTCTCAATTTGGGCTCAATCTTGTCACAACAAGCGCTGAGCAGTCAGAAATGCTCCACAAACAGCCGCTCGCCTGCTCTGTAATGAGGGAGACGGAACTCGAGGACCACAGGTAGAAAGGAGTGGACATAGCTGGTCACTCTCTTCCATCTGCCTCTCCATCTGTTGCGGCTTCATTTAGAGCTCGCTGCTGTCCAACTCCTCTAATATGGAGGAGCAGCCAAGCACACACAAATGGAATTACACAAGAATGTGCACTCCAATCTACATATTTTGGACTAAAATAATTGACTTAAAATAGGTTACATGACTATTAACTGGTAACTTGGCTTAGTGATTGTTGGAAACGCAATAAGAAGTGGTGCGGTCTCAAGAGAACAGAATGCATCAGTCAGCATCTGGTGCATGACAACACCTCGACATCAAAAAAACCTGTTTGAGTGCATCTTCTGTGAGACCACACCTTTATTGCTATAATGAAAACCATTCTTGACCACATTTCTCTTGAACATCAATAAATCAAAGAACATCTGCCACATATTCATCCCAAGTCAAAACGTCAACACTTCTCTATTGTGCATCAATCAATAAATTGACAATCTACGTAAACAACCTTTAAATAGACCTTGCTTCACTTTCCTCAAAGAAAAAAAAAACTCCTATATTTCACATCTTGAAAGAAACAACTGGTTCTTTGCAAAGCCTTAACATATTTGAACAAACCAGAAAAAATATGCTCCTTAGCCACTCCTCCAACTCACATCAACAAATCAGTGAATTTGCATAAGCTTTTCACTGAGCATCTGCTTCAACACAAGCTAATTAGAAAATAAATGGTGCTAGTCCAACACCTCCATTCCTCCAGCCACACCTCCATCTTACACATGTCAGACAACATCTGCTTATACACCACATCCCACATTAATACCTTAAACCACACCTGGTGCTAGACCACACCAGCTCATGTCACGGGAAAAAAGGCAATAGCTGCTACTTGGTAACCTCCACCAGCAAATGAGCACATGCTACTAGTCCACACCTCATTTCATATTCCACGCCGCTGCAAACATCTTTTCAGACTTCACAGCAACTTTTTTTTTAAGTCTAACAACAAATCTAGCTCTTTTAAGCAACTGATTGAGCAGCAATTTCTATTTTCACCCACCATACGCTCACATCTGACACCCACAGCCACAAGCTGTACTTTTAAGGGTGCAGAATGTGTTCTGTTCTCAAGAGGTAGAAGTAATGAAATCAAGATTTTGAGAATTAAACTCTGTAAAATGTAAAATATTTTAAAGAGGAGTTTGCATGTGAATGATGAGAATGGTGAATTATGGCAATGCACAGTATGACTTAAGCTCATTTTAGGTGACATTCAGAGTCAACACTCCCCATTGGAGCTGCCCCAGGCCCTCGATCTCCACCAATAAACTGCAGCTTACACCAGCAATGAGTGAAAAGTATGTTCAACAATCATGATAAACAGGATGAGCTGGCTCACAGGCATCATACATTATTCACGTTTGCTTGTTTTGAGTTGCCGTGCAAGATGGAACCTTCGGCGTAAATGTGTGTTGCAATTTCTCTCTGCGCTACGGGACACCTCATGAAATGTAAAAACGTGCCACGGCCAGGGCAATGGAACAAACACTGACTTGGGAACAACATGAATGAGCTGGCAAGTGTGCAATCATGCAGGTGTGGCTGTGAGAAATAAAAGTCAAGTCTACTATGCTCGGCTGGTTGAACCTGCTAGCAGCACATGCAATCTTTGCACTAAAACACTATTAGCTAGCTAGAGACATGGTTATGAAATAAGTGTATTTGCCAGAAAAGCCAATAAGGTCGCCTGGAGAAATGAGAGACCTTATAGCAGGTGTTTGTTTTTCTTTGATGGTTGGTTCAGGGAAGTCATACCTTGGATTTAGTCCAGGCAAGATGATAACGTGCATGATCTGAAGACAGGTAGTATAGAGTAATTGGTCTTTCCCTAAACCACATCTGAGGTTCAGCCAATCACAATTTAGATGTCATGGTTTTGGTCCAAAAATAGTTGCATAGGATTAACAAAGGCTACCATTTGCATTTGTGTTAGTACTGTTAGCACTGTTTACAATAGTGTACGCTTCATATTCTATAGTTTTTAGTCAAATTTGGTCCCTTTGTTCCTCCTAAATATAATCTCTTACATGCTGTCAACTCCCACTGCAATAGACTGAGCAGTCACTGAGAGAAAGTGAAGATGTGGGTGGGGATTAACAATAGATCAACTGTGTTAAAATAATCATATACTACTTTAAAAATAAATTGTATTATTATCAATTAAATACAATACTTGTGCTGAGAACTACCTGTGTTTTCTTATAAACATATGACTTGATAATTACAAGTTTTGAGTGAAGTTTACATCATTTTATACAAGCTGCTTTTCCTCATTACATTTTTAATCAAAATTTTAATTACTGTCACCAACCATCTATGTAATCTCATCGTGATAATCACTGACAGACAAAAAAAGAACCCTTTGTTAATAAACATTTTTATAATTTTCCTGACTGTGTCAGTCTTTTCCTGTCCCACTGTGTCTCTGCAGGTCCTATCTTATTTCTTCTTTTCTACCGTGTTGCACTAAATACATCTTCTTTGACTGCAACAGCACAAAAATTCTTCCGCAGAAGCAACACCCTTTGAAATGGCTACAGAATCATTTTCTGATGGCTTTTTGTAGTGAACCCTGCCTGGAAGATGACAGAGCAAAGAATCTTTGATGGCTTAATTGACCGAATAATTTCCATAATACTTGCACAGAGCTTCAACAATGTCCACATAATTGATTGTATTTCCTCACAGTAGTGGCTTTGCTGTAGGCGGATATCAGCGTCCAGACAACAGCAACAAGCTTAAGAGAGATGCTTTTCCATTAAAGAATTAGCCTCCGTTGCTTAAAGCACTTCACTGAAGCCAACCGGAAAATACAGAGGAGCTTATGATGGCAGGAAATGCATATCTGGACATGGTTTGGGGGTCTTCACTGACTTTTTTTTTTTTTAGCAAAGACATTGTATGCTTTTTATTCAACTGGAAAACAACAGAATTAAAAATCTGAAAGGGGGTAGGCAAAAAGCAAAAACATAATCCTTGGTTGGATGGCTTTCTCTTAAGATGACATGGACTCAAAAGAAACACAATTACCACGGTAACGGTAACGTCAGCTCTGTCAGGGATGCACTGACAAAGAGAGAGATTTTTCAATGCTCAAGCTGAAGTAAAAAAGCTGAAAATGTCACCTTTCTGTGCACAACATAATAGAGGAAAGATCTCAGAATGACTGGCACATCTTAACACGTCAAGGGAGAAAGAATGAGTGTGCAGAAGTCTCATGGAAGAAGAACCTTGGAGCGTCAAGCCTTATTCCTTTGATTCTAAACATTCAAGCGAAATTTGGCAAAAATTATGTATTTGATTTGTAAAATAAAAAAGTATCAAATTTTAGAGAAATTCTTAAAATAGCATTTAGAATGGAATGCATGTGTCAAAATAAGGGGAATGCTTTATTTCAGTAATTTTTTTTTTTAAAAGTGTATGTGATGCAGTATATGATGGAAAACTGGTATTTCACAAAACTTCAATATCAGAACAAAGGTCACTATTGTAGGCTCAATGTGTCTTAAGCCCACTACACACAGATCTGAATTGAGATTCTCATGAATCTTTGGATGGGTGATCTTCGACGGGAAAATATTGATGCAATGAAGCTCCCTGCACTCCCTTACACAGTGAAACAGGAAAGAAGAAGAGGATGACGACAGAAAGGAAATCCAAGAACAAAACCATGGATGTCGCTTGGTTTAAGGCCTCTACACACCGGTCCGAATTGCTTCTCTTACACCAGTCTGATGGCTTCTCAGCAGGGTGCTTCCTTCTGCGTCAAGGAAATATTGATGTAATGACATTTCCTGCCCGATGATGCTTTTCTCTGGCTCAATCAGTAAGAGCATTGTGATCGCAATGCAAAGGTTGTGGGTTCAAACCCCAGGAAAAGCAAGAACTGACTAAATGTGTTAACTGCTTAAAGTGTAAGTCACAAAGCATCTGCTAAAGGCATAAATGTTGAATAAAAAGTTGTACAACATCGCCACAAGTTTTCATTGAGCGCCCTCTAAAGACAGTGAGCGTGTGCATTTCAATTAGAAGGTTGGCGGTGATCTTCCTGGAAGAAGTTTCGTGCACCCTCCAGGTACACCGGTTTCCCCCACAATCCCAAAAACATGCCAGTCAGGTTAATCGAATTATCAAATTTCTTAATTGGACTGAAGAACTGTCCAGGGTGTTCCCCTACCTCTCACCCAAAGTGACCCTGAAAGGAAAATCACATGTAAGAAGATGAATGAATGAATAATACAGACAGTGAGAAGCATAAATCTTAAAAATATATATAAACATATTAATTAGCCACTGTAAACCAAGGCAGCTTCTTACCTCTTTCACAGGAGCGTCCAAGGTAACCGGTCCCGGAGCAGTCGCACACGTATCGGTTCCAGCCCTCTCTACAGCTGCCGCTGTTCAAACAAGGGTTGCTCAGGCACTGTTTGGGAGGCTCTTTAGAACAGGATGGCTTTACCCCGACTGCTCTCTGAGCCTCAGCAATCCGCCGGATGTCCTTGCTCTGGCCGTCCATGAACAAATCCCTCACACACCCCACGTAGCCATAGTTCAAGAGCGCTGTCCACACCTCTGTTGGGAATACGAGTCCAGCTCTGTCCTCCGGGAGCCCACCAAGGTACAGCTTGTCATCTAGATCCAGGATCTCACTCTCACCAGGAGCGTTGTATGGGGTGCGAATTGAGTTGACAGAAATGGTACCTGTCAAAAAGCCACAAGTAGAACAATTAATGTGGTTCTCTTCAAGATTAAATTCAATTCCAGTAACTTGTTGATTCAGTTATAAAATGATGGATGGTCTATTATTCCTGGTTACATTTATAAGTGCAGATTGAGTACAATGGTCAATATATTGTAATATATTTTGTTCTATGTTATATGCATTATTTTTCCAACAATTTACTTTTAATTGGTAGGTAAGTTGAATCGCAGTGTGAATGACTTGAGGGAAGAGTAATTTTTTCATCAGAACCTTTTTTTGGAAAGTCTCTGCACGTGTAGGTTTCAAAAAGGTTATTAATTTAGATATTTTTGGGTTTAAATAAATATAACAAGAGCTATGACTGAGTTTTTGCAAGGTTTTTTGCTAGTTTTACAAAATGTGAGAAAGTGCACAATTGTATTTAAGTTTTGTTTTACAAACGATGCCATTAGTGCCATCTTGTGGTGAAAAGAAGGGATAACCAATGGAACCAATGGAAGTACAAGACCTGTGATATGGGTCGTTTTTCAAAGCTCTACCACAAAATGGAACAAGAAGTGCTTGGAACAGGTTATACGGTTTTGAGAAGTTTGCCATTTTGTAGCATACAATTTTCATATTGTTTTCACTTTTTTGTTTTCTTGGGGTGATATATCAATTTTTATTTAAAAATAATACAAATGGAACTCTAAATTGTATTTTTTGTACAAATTCAGGATTGTTGTGGAATAATTCTGTAATGAAAATTTTTATTAAAAAAAGAACCAGTTTTTTTTACAATAAAATTTAATCAAAGATTGCCTTACAGCAAACTATAAAATAGTAAAAAACGCTTAAAAAGGCCCCAGACTTCTAAGGGTTAATGAAGCCGTTTTACTTTGGTGCAATGGTTTGAGGCCTGCCTTGGACTTTTCTTGAGCAGAGTTAGCTTCTTTGCTCTATGGGTTTCCATCCACAATCCTCAGAAGTGAAAGTGAATGATGAGTGAATGTGGCACTGTGATGGACTAGCAACCTGTTTAGGGTGTACCCCAAATTTCACCACACAAGAGCTAGAGCACCAGCAGAACCCTATGACCCTATCCAAGCTAATAATGGGTAAAAATGTGCTTCTCTGTGAATATTGTAATATTTGATATTTAGCTTATAATAAGAGCCCTCACAGAAGCATTAGCATTTGAAGGGGCTTTGATTCATATGTTTAGAGCTGTCTTTATACAATAGCGTCAATCTTATTCAAAGACAAAGATTCAAAAGCAGTCTCCATAGCAACAGTAGACAATATGCAGAAGATTCACAGAACAGTCATTGCTTTCAAAGGGGCACAATAGAATCAACATTCAGCTCTATTCACGTTTCATTTCACAGTTAAGATGATTCAGTTCTCACAAATTATTTGTGTACCCTTTCAAAACATGCCCATTGTTCCTGTCCGGGGTTTTTGTCTAAATAGTGCTTTGGTACAAAGCTAAAGCACAGTGCTCTCAGGTGAAGCAAGCCTTTCATTTGTTCTAATAATGTTTAAACACAATCACAAGTTCTATAAGCACCCTCATTGTTCTCCTGGAGACTCCAGCAAACAGGCACGTATACACAAGTGATAATTCACAAGTTTCCTTCTCATTTTCCACCAGTGTGTACTGCCATTATTCACGCCTTGAAGGCAGGTACACAAGAAAAGGCATTACTCACTGATAGGAAAGAACAGAATGGTATTAACGGAAAGTGCTGGCCAACGCTGAATCCTGTTTATTAATGCCCAGCACTCAACCAAACTCAATAAACAGTGGCAAACAATTAAAGATGCTGTCTTTCAGTGCAAAAAGCTAGCTTCTTCTGGGCTTTGTCACAGGCAAAGTAGAGCAATGATTTTTGCAGTCTGACCTGGAGGGAGTGCCTTAAGACAAGGAGAATACAGGGATAGCCACATCAAACAGATAATATGACAAATATTGTCTGGTTTGAAATTATTCTGGTGATTTTACAAATAGAAAATCAAGGAATCCAGAACATTTGAATTGGGAACAGAACAGAAGTATGCCGTGTTTGTGTGTGTGGTGTTTTAACTTTGTTTGCAGTTATACATTTCTTTTTAAGATTTATATGATGCTTATTAGATTTATTAAAGTATATTTTGGACTGTGTACCTCAGTGGCAAATGGGTCCCCAGGCCCTATCCTGAGGTGGCATTGTCATACTCTACGACACCAAGTGTGTGCTGAAATTGTGTAATCGCATACAGTCAGAATGTACTACTATTAAAAAATAGCGTATTTATTTTAGATCACATTTTACTTTGATTTGATTTCTGTTTTAGTCAGCACCCTAGTCCTTTAGAGATCCCCTGTAATGGGTTATAAAGTCTCATATTGCAGTTCTCAAGAGATCCCTTACACAAACTAGCCTAAAAAGCAAAAGCATACATGGAGAGTTGAGGGGATATTAGGTGAGTTGTCCAAGTAAGGGGGTCCAGAGAACGGAACTAGACTGGACCACTGAACTACACCCCCACCCCCATTGGGATAGGTTGAGCAAATGTCGATGAGACTCGTTCGTTTGAACTTTTACATACAGGGGTGATTAACAAAAGAAGTGGGGTCATTGATTATTAATTGGCTAATTCTGATAAGCTCCTCTCAAACTTTGTTCTATAAATGTCATTTAGTAATCCCCAACAACAGGCTGAAATGCATAAAAGGACAAAATGTACTTTAGTTGTTTCATAACATGCATTTATCATACCTTATTTCTGAACGACTCAGTAACAATTCCTCCAGAGATTATTCCGGCAGGCTTGTTACCAACTATTCCTCAGTCTCAATTATTGTCTGATTTTGAAATTCTCATGGTCATTATTTTATATTTTGGGAATCTAAAACGTCTAATTGTGAGGTTTGAAATTATTTTAGCAGAATTTTAGTTAGCATGGCTAACTTATACGATGAATGGTTTACAAAAAGGAGACCAGTCAATTAATCCACATACACGCTTGTTTTTATTTTTTTCAGTGTAGCAAGGGCACCTATTCGAGAAAATTTGCAATTTTAGTTTGTGCTGAAATTTTATATTTAGAATTTTACAGTCAAAGAGTACAAAATGTTTTGAAATCCCTTTTTTGTTTTTTAGCTTTACATTTTAGCTTTGGAATGGTGATCGTTTATGGTTTATGGTTTATGACAGCCACAACAAAGGCCTCTACACACCAATCTGAATTTTCGATCCGAAGTGTGATCGGAAACCATGGACTCTAATGGCACATCACACAGTGTTAAACTGCCATATCAGATTGTTTTTCTGCAAGGAGAACAATCAATGAAAGCTGGCTCTTTTGATGATGTGAGTAGGACGTAAAAAAAAAGTCCCTGGCGCTCATAACGTTACTTTCCTGTGAAGATGCACGCTTTTAAAGCATCTGCATGAATATAAATATAAAGTTGCCACCTAAAGACTGGGAGTGGTTTAGCACACTCACTCCTATCATCTACAGTGAAAGACACTTTTCGTTTACATGCCTAAAATATTTTGATGAGCTTTAAACCTGAAAATTTGCTTATAAATGTCACAAGAAAGATTGGCACGGGATTTCCATTATAAATCATCAGTATAAGATCACAAGAAAAATGGAAGGGGCTTCACTGAGTATGTGCATTTATTTGAGAGCCAAGCTCCGGTAAACGATGTATTTTGTTCTCAGATCAGTGATTTATTTTCAGCATTAATGGCTACTGAGGGAACAGAATGAATGGCTGCAGTCTGGTCGAGCTCTGCTTTCCAGTCTGTGATGTAGTGCTTCAGATCTGCGTCACATAGCTCAAGAGAGAGAGAGAAAAACTATCTTCCAGATTAAATGTGATTCCATAGACTCATTATGGCCTCCTGTATCTGAGTCATTATTCACAGACGTACCCAAAGAAAGCTAGATGTGTTGGGACAGTAAATTATAATTATTCTCTACGTAACCGTTTCCCGCCAAGCATTTCAACGAATCTGCAGAAACTGTACTTTCCCTTCTCTCCTGTGGGGTGCAGTGCACAAGTAAATAAAAATGTGATGTTTCTCTCAATCTGTGTGGATTTGATGACTACTCCTCTCAAACACATGCACGCACACGCACACACACACACACGCACATACACACATTATCATCCTTTGAAGTGCACTTGGCGACCGTAACCCTAACA